GTCCAACATTAGCTCATAGGTCCAACACCAATCCACAAAGTCCTCCTCCATCTCACAAAACAGACTCAATGATGCTGACTGCAGGAGGAAAGCCACATCAGTGAATGTGTAAGCATCTCAGCACTGGCAGGGGTCTCCACATGGTTGCTCCAGGACCCAGGGCTGCATCAGGGTAGATACATGTGGTTTCTCTTCAGGGATGTTTCACAGGAAGTGAGCCTTGCCGGCTGAAACGGGGAACTGGCTAAGGCAGATGCACCCTCGTCCGACCATTACAAAGCAAGAGACCCGAGAACTCAAAAAATGAGGCTCACTGAGCCCTCTATCTCTCAGCCCTTCAATTAACCCCACATGTGTTTATCAGCCAGGTTGGCACAATAAACTTTAACTAACTCAGGGGACATATCAATAAGTTAAACAAAGATCACTGTTGTGCAATACAGACAATAAACTACATGGTAAGTATGGATATTATTCAGTATTTATTTTCACTTAGCATCTCTATCGTAAACAGATGGCATACTTAGTTTAAGGAAGGGCATTCAAATGTACCGTTACTTCAGCACTAAGAAACTATGATAGGAATGGTAACTGGGGAGAACTTTTCCCCCTTTTTTGGTGTTGTTTTAAGATATGAGGCAAAACAGAAATTTTGTATACACTTGATCTTGGGAATGATCAAGTAGTAAGAGAAAACTTGATTTGGAGATTAAAGTAAGAATTTTTGTAACAATATCCTTACATAAGTAAGCAAGAAAAACTAAATCTAGGACCCAAATATAGGAACTGACTATCAAATGTATATGCATATTGGTTTCCAGAATAATGTAATGACAGTAAGAAAGGCACACACACTCCTATTTTTTATAGGAAAAAAATTAATCAGTCTCTTTGTATACTGGTAAAAGACAAAACTCAAACCCAGTCCTAATTTCCTCACACAAGCATTCCAGATTAGAATTAGGAGCACAGGTTCTACTTTGTGAGTGAGGATATGTATTACAATGAAATAACTTGTTGGTGAATTCATATCATTTTCAATGAAAAGGATAATCCAAACATTTCTAAGTGATAAATAGGAACCATCGCAACTCAAGCGGTTTGATTTTCTCTTAACGTAAATGTTGGTGGTTTGAAGCTCCCAGTGGCTCCACAGACAGAAGGTCTGGTAAACTGCTTCCGTAAAGCTTACAGCCAAGAAGACTCTATGGGGCAGTTCAATTCTGTCATAGGCGAGGTCACCGTGAGTTGGAGGCCATGAGTCAACGGCAGCTACAGTGGACAACAAGTAACAAGTAGCAAGAAGGAACTGTATCAATGGGAATGTGGCCATTTTCCAAGTTGATTTCAAGGAAAGAGAATCTGGGGCCACAAGGCTGCAATAGCTACAAAGGTCTGTGCGTTATAACATGGAAACAGAATGAATTGTTAATTTACTTTCAAGTCCCATAAAAGACATTCATCTAGAAGTAGAAGAGGTCAGATCCCAGATATCTCTTATGGGACTAGATTTAGTCTAAGTTCTAGGGAGATAAATGTCCTTAATTTTGTTCTTTAAACCAGTTCAATGAAACATTAAGCACAAGATATGGTTGTGGGGGGATTGGGGGGAGAGGAAAGGGCTGCCTGTATGGTGGGGATACATCTAAAATGCAAACTTTTATGTCAGTCAAACTCCTTTTCAGATAAGTGGTATTGTGCCTAATTGCTTTTTAATAACATCCCTATTAAAACAATAACATTTTGTTGAATACAATTTTGCAATTTACAAAGATTTTTACATACATTAAGTGGAAATTAAATTGAAGGAGACTTACACATTGAGGAAAGACAGAAGTCTGACTTCTAAGCTGGAATTTTATCAGCCCTCAGTACTGCTTCATAATTTTACTTTTATTCAATCACACACCAAAGATGGGGCTCTTGGGAAAATAAACAGCAATAGATCATACATACATCAAGAGACATGATTCATGTGAGCTATGGCTTTGCTCTTAAAGTTAAAACTTAGGGTATGAATTCCCTTCCTGCTCTCTTTGATAAATCAATTGTGGGTGTTCATTTGGGACCTATCCCGGAGAAACTTTGACTATTTTTTTTAAATGGCTCAACTGAACTTAAACCAGATATGACATTTAGGCCTTTTCTGCTGAACCGACAGGCTAGAACTCCCAGGAGCCTGCTAACAAGAGAGTGCCAAACCACAGTGCTTGTCCTTTCCCAGACAGTTTTATTTCTCTGGGTTCTGTCCCTGCCCTGACTCCAGGTCACTTCTTTTGAGGAACATTGTTACTTTCTCTCCATTACCTCGATTTTATCCTTCCTTTCTATATTTTCTTCTTTTCTGTGTTTTGTTCATTTTTAATTTTGTCCTCCCCTTCTTTAACTTTTTTATTTTCTCAAAGGTTTTTCTTCAATGTCATCTTTTTCTTTTCATTAATTTTTTCTCTTCTTGACTCTTCTTATTTTTTTCTTTCTTTTTCTTTTCATTTTGTTTTTTTTCTTTCTTTTTATTTAGTAAAATATTTAAATTACTATTCTTGTGGCTGCCACCATTTGATTGTTATTATCTTCATTTTTATTTTTTGCTTTTATTTTATCCTCGTGTTTGTTTTATTGTTGGTCTGCTAGATGAGAGATAGCAACCAGGCCCACAAGGCCCTGTCACACTCACATATCCTGCATCCTCCCCTACTGGGTGACATCTCCAGTTTCATCAGATCCTTTATAGACAGTGGCCAACACCAGAAAAACCCACCCTCAAATGTATTATAGAAATACATAGCAAAATGTGCATAAACCCTAATTCTCTATCATTTCCACCAAATAAAAGGGCTGAGTTCCAAAGAACATGACAACATGCAATTATCAAGTAAATACTAATATAATAAAACAATGCCTCCGGGACAACAAGCAATATCAACCCATATTAAGAAATAAGTAAGAATGGCTCAAACATGTTACCAAAATGCAGAGCCAGAAACCCTTCTGAGGAAGAAATGGCATTGTAACTACCAGATAAAGATTCAAAAGGAACATATTTAAGTACTTTAAACAAATAGAAAAAAAAAACTGAGAAAGCTTCAGATGAAATCAAGGAAAACTCAGGGCTAAGAAGCTTTAGAAAAATTCAGTAATACATTGCAGAAATTACCAAATAAATGAATAATTAGAAACTGTACAAAAATAATAAATAGAACAGAATCAAATCAATCAAAGGCAAATTAATGAGATTGAGCACATATTTCTCATGACTAACCTACTAGAAGGACAAGGAGAAACAGGAATAAATATTCTGATGAAAGTCTAAGAATTGTGCTTGACACTATAAAGAGGAATAACTTAAATGTGATCAGAATTCCAGAACTATAAGAGATAACAAAAAGAACAAGAAAAATTGGGGGGAAATAAAAACACTTCACTAGTGTGTTAGTCTGGGTACTTTAGAGAAACAAATCCACAGAAACTCATGTTTTATATAAAGGTTAAGTGCACATCAAGAAAACATACCAACCCAGTGCTGCCCAAGCCCACAAGTCCAACACTAACCCATATGTCCAACACCAATTGAGATAGTTTATTGTGCCAGCCTGGCTGATAAACACAAGTGGGATTAACTGAAGGGCAGAGAGATAAATGGCTTGGTGAGCCTTGTCTTTCTTGTCTCTTGCTCTGTGATATCGGACCAGTGTGCGGCTGCCTTGCTTGTTCTGTGCCTCAATTTAAAGGCTA